TTTAAAAACATATATAAATAGGTTACCTGAATGGAACATTTGATACATCTCTCGACATTTCCACCACAATTACTCCAGTAGGTTCACCACTTTAGTTGTGTTACAATAGGATAGGAGGCTACATTAAAGTGTATTTTCACTTTTGCAGTCAAATTTGAGAAAACCCCACTGTATATTTGTCGTGTGTTCCTATTCACAAATCATATAAAAAAAAATAAACACATAAGTAGATATATTACTAACCTTTCCAGGAGAAGGTGTCATGGCATTTCCCAGCTAGTTCAGAGTGGTCTGTCCCAATAGCTGGGCTGGGGGCTGACTTTGTCCAGTTCTCATTACCATACAATGAAGAAACCCAGCCCTGAAATCTTTAACCCTTTGGTAAGACACACAGTCAGGGGTGGACTGACCATTTGGAAACTCGGACACTGCCCGAGGGCCCGGGGCCAGTAGGGGGCGCCATGAGATGCCCCTGGTACCTTTTTCATAGGCTTTTTTGAGTTTGGGCAAGGACACAGGGGCCCCATGATCCCCTATTGCCCGGGGGCCCCATGAGTTGTCAGTCCGCCCCTGCACACAGTGTTCAAATCTAGCGCAACTGATGAGACGATATTTGCTTGCACAGTACAGACAGGGCTAATAATGGCAAATGCAGCTCCCCAGCCCCCACATAATAAAGAGAAATAAGTAAACACCTTTCCTTGCTAGAGGTCACAGACTAGAGCATCTAAAGAAGGTAAGCTGCAATTTTTTTTTAGAATTTTTATGTTTTTGTTGAAGTTTTGTAAAAGATTAGTACAAACTTCAAGCGGTTCAGCCCACACAGGGAAGGTCACTTGTAAAAACAATTCTAATTTTTTTTTTCCCCTGCAGAAGCACATTGGATCGTGCTTTGCTGGGTTTTTTGCCTTCCTCTGGATCAACTGTGGGTGTAGGATTACAACTTTTTTTTTTAATGGTTGAACTGGATGGACTTTTGTCTTTTTTTTCAGCCAGACTAACTATGTAACTGTGTTATAACAAAGAAAACATTAGAAACAAAAAAAAAAAAAGAAAGAAAAGAATACATTACAATACAATACAACACATTACATTACTTCCGAAGTTGCATTGTGTCATACTAGAATTTTCGGAACTTTAGTAACCTATTCATTTTTTTATATGAGACTAGCATGCAAAAAAATACAGACGATCATTCATCCGACAAGCTCACTGTGTGTACCAGGCTTTACTCTTTTGAACTATTGTGTCCAGCTCCTTGCTTAACCTCCCTAGCGTTCTGATTATGTCGGTATCTCTGTGCTCAAAGCGGTACTTTTTTTGCATGGAAATATGTCATTTTTTTATTGTACGCCTGTAATTCTTAGGAATAACTCCCTGAAATCTGTCCGAACAAGAGTCTAGTAGTAAACATCCCGGGTATGATAAAATTTGAAACACGAAATCATAAAATTATAATTTAATAAATAATCATAAAAAATAATAATATAATAATAAATTTAATTCAATAATATAATCAAACCAAAAACACTGAAATGTGAAATATAGCGCCAAGTTCACACATCACTGAGCAAAGTCGCAGAATCGTTTTCAGTGTCTGATGAGGAATTTCCCCCACAAATCATTATCACTCAATTCTGCAAGTGGTTCTGATTTACTATCGCTGTTCTCTAGCCGGTCTAAAACCGCTTTTGACCTAAAGGGATGCTTTTTGGACACCATGGACGTTTCTCAGTTTCCAGGCAGAAAGAACAGTAAAAATGCAGGCAGGGCGCCGGACAAAGCACTCGGGACAAAATGTATGTGAAATGGTTTGATACAGGAATGTTATACTATGTGATTTTAGTGTATTTAGTGAATGTCACTTTTTCACATTTTTAAATTTCCCGCCGGTTCTGTCCCCCGTACGTCCCGACGTCGCAGGGGACGGAACCCAGATGACAGATGCCGGCATCCGCTGGAGGACATTGCCAGGGACGCTGCAGGAGGGACATCGCGGGAGCGCAGGACAAGGTAAGTGATCGAGGGATCCCGGAGCAAGGCTGCAGTGTATTCCCGAGTGTAGTTCGGGGTTACCGCTTGTGGTGCTGAAACTTTACCCCGAGCTACACTCGGGAATACCGCCGGGGGGGTTAAGCAGTTTCAAAGCAATGGAATTAGCTAGTCTTCGTCTCTTAACCCTGCGAAGGTTGGAGCTGTATGCTCTGTAAAAGATGTCTAAGGTAAGTAATATAGTTCTTAAAACAGAATAATAACATCATATATAAAGGAACTTCCCCTTTTGGGTGGAGCTCAGCTTTAAGTCCTGGTAGATCACTTCATGCTGGCCCCTTTTGCAGGTGTAAAACTTTAAAAAATAAGTGCTCATACTGTTTAAAATTCAGCAATACCCTGTCTCATCCTGCTCTGCACATGCTCAGTTGCTCTCCATTTTATGCAGAATTTGTAGAGGCCGATCTGCTGACAGCCTTTAAGCGGAATTCAACCCTCCTACCCTTTACAGCCATGGAAGCTGCTTCTGTTTGATCTGCAACTGACATGATGCTGCACATGTGATCACGTATGATAAACAGCCATTTGATGGTTTGACAGCTTGGTTGAGGACACAAGCAAATGTTACCGTTAACAATCTTAGCATTCCAGGAATGCAACTGTTTTTTTGAAACCATGAAATTGATGGGGTTTAGTTCCTCTTTATGATTTACTGCTGCTCAGGGGCTCTGGGCTTCAGCAAAATGGCAGCCTCCAGCAAGAAGAAACAGGAACAATGGTGGAGGCAATTTACATAACATACCAATTTTGGTAGCACGATTATTACTGTGGAATGTATATTCCTTAATAAAGAACATTATTTTTTGGGTAAAATTCCGCTTTAAGTGAGTTTTGCATTAACATTAGCTTCTAGTCAGACCATCTCAGCTATAACAAAACTGTTGAGTTCCGATTTACTGGAAAATATGTACAGGCGTACCTCGGTTTACGAACGCCTCGGTTAACATAATTTTCAGTTTACGAATGAAAATCCATTGAGAATAATGGCTCAGTTTACAAATTTATTTTGCAATACAAATGAATTAATTGGTTTTCAATGCATTTACTAATTTTTCTTTTACATGTCCCTGTACAGTACTATGTCTTTAAAGTGCACTTTATAAAGAGTTTTGAACAGATAAGACTTTTTTTTTACTTTTTTTCTGGCCTCCGGAACAGATTTAATTGGTTTTCAATGCATTTACGATTTTTTTTTTAATCATGTCCCTGTACAGTATTTATGCCTTTAAAGTTCACTTTATAAAGAGTTTTGAACAGATAAAACTTTTTTGACTTTTTTCTGACCTCTGGAATGATTAATTGGTTTTCAATGCATTTACAAATTAATTTTTAAACATGTCCCTGTACAGTATTTATGCCTTTAAAGTGCACTTTATAAAGAGTTTTTGAACAGATAAAATACTTTTTTTTTTACTTTTTTCTGACCTCGGAACGGATTATTTAGTTTTCAATGCATTCCTATAGGAAACCGCGTTTCGGTTTACGAATTTTCCACAATACGAAAAGTCCTGGAGAATTAAAGCATTAAATTCGTAAACCGAGGTACCTCTGTAATCTCTAAGAAATGAGAGTATTATCAGCTAGTTTCGTTCTCACTACATATGCAAACTATTAATCTATGACTGGCTACAGCTTGGCTAACACCTTACGTTGATGTTATACAAATATGTAACTTGCCGAATAAAATTTTAATATTGAGCTTTAACACCACGCTGCTGTCCTGTGTCTTTTCATTATCTCGAGCTTGTGGGGGAATTGTACCCAGCAAAAGAGAAACAAACGTATGTGGCAGATTTAACCCCTGGGGGATAATCGAGTAACCCAACACCACTTGAGTTTGACAGGCAGTGAAAAGGCAATATGTTGACTGTGTTAACCCTGTACAGTCCATACCACGTGCATTGCAAGGTGGTGGTAAAAAGGCAGCTCAGCCACCTATTTTTACCATCCTTTACAAGCCCTTAGAGTGAAGATCACATGGACCTGAATCTGCTTGACCTGCCTTCTTTTTCACAAGCTGGAAGAATTTATATAAAATTTAGGGTCAAAATGATGTTTTTGAATGATGGGACAAATACTGCTTGGACCTTAAAGGAAGGATATTAAAGGAAGGGGCACCAGGTTGATGTTTTTCATATTTGACCTGAATCTGCTTGACCTGCTTTCTTTTTCACAAGCTGGAAGAATTTACATAAAATTTAGGGTCAAAATGATGTTTTTGAACGATGGGACAAATACTGCTTGGACCTTAAAGGAAGGATATTAAAGGAAGGGGCACCAGGTTGATGTTTTTCATATTTGATTGGAGAACTAGTGTCTTCAAGGGTTAGGATTACTGACAGTTATAATATACCTCTTGCTTATTATACAGATGCAGAATATTTGAATTGGTTGGAAATGAATAAAGTTCTCCAGTGGAATTTATTCTCTCTGGACTTACTGACGAGACTGAACCCAACATTCTATTATTTGTCATATTTCTGCTTGTTTACATCACAACTATGGTTGGCAATGTTGGCCTTATTTCTCTAAGTATAGCAAAGAAGCATCTCCACAAACCCATGTACTTCTTTCTGAGCAATCTTTCCTTTGTGGATCTTGTGTATTCTTCAGCCATCACCCCTAAAATGCTGAGGGACTTTCTGAGTGAATCAAAGACCATCTCTTTTCTTGGCTGTGCCATGCAGATGTACGTCTTTGGATCCTTTGCAAGCACTGAATGTCTTCTTCTAGGAGTCATGGCCTATGATCGCTATGTGGCTATCTGTAGCCCATTGCACTACCACATCTATATGAGCAGTATGTTGTGTTTCCGCATGGTGGTTGTTGCTTACTTTGGAGGGTTTTTTTAATTCTCTTGTGCATACAATTCCTGCGTTCCATCTTAACTTCTGCAGAACCAACATTATTGATCATTTCTTTTGTGACCTTCCACACCACTCTTTAAGTTGTCCTGCTCTGATATATCAATGAATGTAGTAGTTTTGATTATTTTAGCTGGCCTGGTTACTATGAGCAGTATGATACTTATCCTAGTCTCATACACCAACATTGTCCTGGCCATTGTGAAGATAAGGTCAGCCCAGGGTAGATACAAGGCTTTCAATACATGTGCTTCTCATATTACTGCTGTTAGCATCTTTTTGGGACTATCTTCTTTATGTATCTTCGGCCGTCAATCAGCAATGTCTTACAGCAGGATCGCGTGGCTTCTGTGTTCTACAGTATAGTTATACCTATGTTAAATCCCTTGATATATAGTTTAAGGAATGCTGAGGTTATAGAAGCATTAAAAAGTTATTGGAAATATTTTAAATGTTAACTAATGAGTCAAGATTATTATTATTATTATACAGTATTTATAAAGCGCCAATAGTTCGCTCTGCGCTGTACATTACAAAGGGGGACAGAACATGTGACAGAACAATACCAATACAATGCAAAACATGAGGGGATCGAGGGCCCTGCTCTTTCGAGCTTACAATCTAGGAGGGAGGGGATGGTGGCACAGGAGGAGATAGCTGTGGGGGATGGAGTGGTAGGAAGAGTGGAGGAGGTCAGCAAGTTAGCAGGGGGTGGGGTAGGCTTCCCTGAAGAGATGGGTTTTCAGGGTGCGCCTAAAGGAGAGGAGAGTAGGGGATAATCTGATGGGTTGGGGCAGGGAGTTCCAGAGGATGGGTGACACCCTGGAGAAGTCCTGGAGGTGGGCATGGGAGGAGGAGACCAGGGAACTAGAGAGAAGGAGGTCTTGTGAGGAGCGGAGTGTGCGTGCGTGTTGGGTGGTACTTGGATATTAGGTCAGTGATGTAGTTCGGGGCAGTATGGTGGACAGCTTTGTACGTCAGTGTTAGGATTTTAAATTTGATCCATTGCGCAATCGGAAGCCAGTGGAGGGATTGGCAGAAGGGGGTGGCGGAAACGGAGCGGTTGGAAAGGTGAATGAGTCTGGCAGCCGTATTCAGGATGGACTGAAGCGGGGATAGCCAGCGGCGAGGCAGGCCAGTGAGGAGGGAGTTGCAGTAGTCGAGTCGTGATATGATGAGGGAGTGGATGAGCTGTTTAGTGGTTTCTGGAGTTAGGAACGTGCAGATTTTGGCGATGTTGCGGAGGTGGAGTCTGCACGAGTTTGTTAAAGAGTGGACTTGGTGCTGGAAGGATAGGTTGGAGTCCAAAATGACACCAAGTACTCTGGCCTGCGGGGCGGGTTTGATGGTGGCGTTGTTTGATGTGATAGAGAAGTCAATGGGGGTGGTGTCCGGGCTGTGGGGAAGACAAGAAACTCGTTTTGGAGATCCCGTCAAGTGCTACCCCCATGTTCTTGGTTGCTTCTACTTGAAAGTCAACTTAAGCTAACATTTTATTTGGTTTTGGATAGAACAGGGAAAGGTTAAAGAAGGGGCCTCAGATGTTTTAATAAAAAGGCCAGTTCACTGTTCTTCAAGCTGCGGCAATTGGGAGAAATGGTGTATTGGCATTGAATCGTGCCCAGGTGTCCAAGACGATTGGAGGAATGGTGCTTCTGTGTCAACGGAAGGAATGGTGCCCCATCATCGGTGTCAGAAGGAAAAATTGTTTCTCTGTTTATGGTGCCAGTGGGATTCAAAAAGCCCTCAAAAATTCGATGTTCAGTGGTCACGTACCTTTGCTTATGCTTCTTGAATGGCACTACTTCTCTACTAACCGAATAATGTTATAGCTGGAACTATGCAGGCACCATTGTGTAGGAAATAACACTGCTGGCTGTGGTCCATTGTTGGGTGCTGGAGCACTCTGTGCTGGTAGCTGCTACCACTAGATCTAAAGGGGAAACAGGATTGTGAGGGCTTTGCCCTTAAATCAGCCCTGCTACTTGAACATAAATAATTCAAAAAAAAAAAAATCATAAAAATTGTCACAACAATTTTTAAAAAATGAAAAAAGCCCCACAAATTAATAAAAGATTATTTTTTTTTTTTTATTTACACACTGTCGCCAGTCAGTGTTTCTGATCAGCACAGCGTCGGTTATATGATGACTCTGCACTGTAATGGTGAAAAATGTTAAAAAAAATTGTGAACCTATTTTTTTAATTTCCTCATTTTCCACAAAATTATGACAAAAAATGACAACTTCAAAAAACATGCAATGCCTCTTACTAAATACATCAGACTGTCTACTTTCCAAAAAGCAGTCATTCTGGGGTTAGTTGTACTGTCCTGATGTTTTTGGGCTTCAGGAAATGAGATCCGGCCAAAAAGTTCAATTTTAACCTCATTGGTCCACAGAACTTGTTTCCAAAATGCATCAGGCTTGTCTATATGTTCATTTGCAAAGTTCAAACGATGATTTTTGTGGTGAGGACGTAGAAGAGGTTTTCTTCTGATGACTCTTCCATGAAGACCATATTTGTACAAGTATCTCTTTATAGTGGAATAGTGTACCACAACTCCAGTGTCTGCCAGATCTTTCTGGAGGGATCGTGCAGTCAAACGTGGGTTTTGAATTGTTTTTTTCACAATCCTGCGAGCTGTTCTGTCTGATATTTTTCTTGGTCTTCCAGATCTTGCTTTAACTTCCACTGTTCCTGATGACTGCCATTTCTTAATTACATTCCGAACAGAGGATATTGACATCTGAAAACGCTTTGCTATCTTCTTATAGCCTTCTCCAGCTTTGTGAGCGTCAACTATTTTCAGTTTCAGTTTTCTAGACAACTGCTTAGAAGAACCCAAGGTGCTGATTGTTGGGGCAAGGTCAGATGAGTCTGGGCATTTAAAACCTTTGAGATTGACATCACCTGGTCTTCCCAGACGATGATTGAGAACAATCCATGACACTGGCAGGTCTCAGCTTTGCAAAGGGGGCAGTGCATGCTATAAATTCTGCAGGGTGCCCAACTTTTTTGCAGACGCCATTTTTGTGTTTTCTGTTATTTTGAAAGTGTAAATGATGGAAATAAAATCTAACCTTTGTTGACATATTATAAGAATGTCTAATCTGTAATTTGATGCCTTTTGGAGATTTTTCCATCTTTCCTTGGCTTCTTTATGCACATTAATACAAATTTTTAGCTGGGGTGCCCAAACTTTCGATCCCCACTGTATACCACAGTTTGTGGACTCTATAACTTTCCTGCCAACTAAATAATAAACACTGTTATAACAGAAACAAAGGAAAACGCATTTTTTTTTTTCAAAATGTCTGGTCTCGTTTTGGTTATAGCACAAAAAATAAAAAAAAAACCCAGTGGTGAATAAATACTGCCAAAAGAAATCTCGATTTGTGTGATAAAAATTCTAAAACATTCATTTGGGTACAGTGTTGCATGACCGTGCAATTGTCATTTAAACTGCAACAGTGCTGAAAGCTGAAAATTGGTCTGGGCAGGAAGGGGGTAAAAGTGCCCAGTGGGCAAGTGGTTATATTAGGGTCCTCATCAGAGCCCCTTTTAAATCACATTATGCCTTAGATGTCCCCCCTTACATCACGGTCCCCATCAGAGTCCTCTCTTACATCAGAATCTGCCTATATCAGAATCCGTGTATATATTAGACATGTATGCCCCAGCTGTGAGCCAATATTCATAGTGTCCAGTATATCACAGTTTATAGGTGAAAGTACCACAGCACAAATGACATTGATGGTATTATACTGTAAATAAATAGTTTACAGTGTGCTGAGTATATATCCCACTCATAGACTGCATTTAGTACGGTTTTACCAGACATTCAAGTCATAAACAGTGTTTAGAGCTTTGAGCTTCACCCATCCGAGAATGTAGAGTAACGTCCATTGTCCACATGAAGAATGTAGGATGCAAGCTCATTTAACTGAATGTAAGGGAATTCCCGTGAGACGGCTGGTGAATAGACGTGCGCATGTGCACAGAAATGCACGATCACGCACGGTGAAGATTGGCCCAAGATGGACTATTTAAAAGGTGCTTCTGCCTGTGCTCAGTGCTGACTGGTCTTTAGCTGATCCCTGTTTCCTGCTCGTTCCTGTGTGATTTCCTTGTTGCTGACCCGGCTTGTTCCTGACATGACTCTGATTCCTCTCCTGCTTGATACTGGTTCCTGACTTCGGCTCTGTTCCTGACTTTGGCTTGTTTATGATTTGGTACCTCACTGTCCGCCCGTTGATGACCCTGGCTATTCCTTTGACACTGCTCCTGTCTCCTATCCCTGCTTCCTGCCTTGCTCTGGTGCACACCTGGCGATCTACCATACCAGCTCTGCATATCACTACGGTGCCTGAATCGGAGGTTCATCAGTCTTCCAAAGTCTCCAACTGCAAGAGCTGCAAACAACATCTGGAGCTCTTGTCCCCCTGGTCCCTAGACACCCTCTGTTCCAATTCCAGTGTGGTCAGGGCTAGTGACACAAGTGAGGCCGACCTCGTCATTTCAGTCTACAATCAGATACGTGACACTGAAGCTTGGCAGTAAATTTCTGGGAACTGTAACACAATAGAGTGTAGATGCAACTATAGAATTCCTGCTATGGCTGTAACGAGTTTCATTGCCACCTGTGGCATATAGGCTAGTTGGGAATATTAACCTAGAGAATAATGACCTATTTTAATATGTCTTTTTTACTTCTGCTAGTTAAAGAAATGGCAAATATATTGTGAAGTCATTTGATCAAAACCCTATAATCCAAGTGAGAGAAGAAGGGTTATCGCTTCTCTCTTTAGGATCATCTAGATCATGGGTGTCAAACTGGCGGCCCTCTAGCTGTTGCCAAACTACAAGTCCCATGAGGCATTGCAAGATTGACAGTTACAAGCATGACTGCCAAAGGTAGAAGCATGATGGGACTTGTAGTTTTGCAACAGCTGGAGGGCCGCCAGTTTGACACCCCTGATCTAGACACTGACGGACAGGCTACCTGAACCATCAAAACACATGATGATGCGCAGTCTAGCCGCCTAGCCTAGGATAGATGGGATAGAGCACCATCAGCCATTGTTACTGGAGGCAAACCGGGCAAAGATGTTTACAGTCATCCTACCGCCACTACTTACATTTTTGTTTTCACATACCCCTCCTTGTCCTGGCATGTATCGCTGAGGTTATGCATACTCCAGGTTTGTCCTCTGCTGTATTCTTTGGTCGCCCCCAATGACCTATGAACAGTGTGTTTTTTAACCTCCCTAACGGTATTCCCGAGTGTAGCTCGGGGTAAAATGTCAGTACCAAAAGCGGTAACCCCGAGCTACACTCGGGAATACCATGCGGTGCTGTATAGGGAGTCCCTGCAGCACTTACCTTGTCCTTCGCTCCTGCGATGTGTCCCCTGCAGCATCCCCGGCCATCTCCTCCGGCCAATGCCGGCATCCGCCTCCTGTGTTCCGGTCCCTGTGACGTCGGGACGTACGGCGCCGCCGGCGGCGGGAAATTTGAAAATTTTTAAAAAATTTCATTTTTTTCAAAACGATTTTACATGGTAAAACATTGCTGTTTCAATCCATTTCACATACATTTTGTCCCGAGTGCTTTGTCCTGTCTGCATTTTTACTGTTCTTTCTGCCTGGAAACTTAGAAAAGTCCATGGCGTCCAAAAAGCGTCCCTTTAGGTCAAAAGTGGTTTTAGACCGGCTAGAGAACAGCGATAGTAAATTAGAACTACTTGCAGAATTGAGTGATAATGATTCGTGGGGGAAATTCCTCATCAGACACTGAAAACGATTTTGCGACTTTGCTCAGCGATGTGCGAACTTGGCGCTCTATTTCACATTTCAGTGTTTTTGGTTTGATTATATTATTGAATTAAATGTATGATTTAGAATCTTGTTCAGACAGATTTCAGTGAGTTATTCCTAAAAATTACAGCCTACAATAAAAAAACGACATATTTCCATGCAAAATAATTGTACCGCTTTCAGCACCAAAAATATGAAATAATCATACCGCCAGGGAGGTTAATGGACTTCCACCCAAAATCTATACCTAACATGTCTATACGGGACATTAAAAGATGTTATACTTTCAGCAGCTGTGGGTCAGGGACTTATACGAATATAATAAATAGCAAGGTGTATGACCATGTGATCATGCCTTTTATCACAGGCATTTCAAGGCAAGCCTGCACCATTCCAAGTCCAAATAAAAATTGGTGTTTGGACATACGGTTCTTCCTTTGTTCTTAAAGAGATATAGAAATATAACATTTGTTGAACATGGACAAGAGTTCTGTGTTAGAATTCATTCTCACAGGGCTCAGTGATAAGACCAAGCTCAGTATTCTAATATTTTATGATATTTCTGAATGCCTACATCACAACTGTTCTTGGCAATGTTCAAACATCTTCACAAGCCCATGTATTTGTTTTTGAGGAATCTGTCCTTTGTGGACCTCATACATTCTTCAGCCGTTACCCCTAAATTGCTGAGGGATCTTTTACATAATACAAAGGCTATCTCTTTTGTTGACTGTGCTGTTCAGATGTATGTTTTTGGTGCTTCTCATGTGACTGCAGTCAGCATCTTATATGGGACTTTTATCTTTACGCATCTTCATCCATCCACAAGCTATGCCCTACAGCAGAACCAGGTGGTTTCAGTCTTCTACAGTATACTTATACCAATGCTAAATCCCCTCATTTACAGTCTTAGGAATGCAAAGGTTAAAAATGCAATGAATGGTTCTTTTAAATATGTTAAAAGGTGATTAAAGACCAATCCTATGTAAATGTAACCCCAACCCCCCCAACGTTTCACAAATAAAAAAGATTAAACTGAAAAAATTAAAACTCCTTTACTCACAAGTCTGCCATCATGTGAACCTCCCTGGTGCCTCTTCTGAGAGTGGAGACCATTGATCCACCACTGTAGTTCAGGCTTGCCATCAAGTGGTAATGTTGCCTCCCCTTCTGCTGCCTGAGGACACCATTGCTGGACAACCAATGGGATGTGTTCACATTACACAGGCAAAGACATTGGCACATGAAAAGGGACCTTCAAACCCTGAAATTCACCAGAAGGAAGATTCAGACCCTGGTGCATCATCTAACCATGGAATGCAGCTAAGGAAAGGTAGCTTTTTTAATTTTTTCAATTAAACCTAGTGATTCATTAGAGGTGGGGGAGATAAAGGGTTGGTGTGTGTTTGTGTGTGTGTGTGTTTTAGGGTTTCAAAAACATGTCTTAATCTTAACAAAAAAGGCCTTTCTGTAGGGTATGCCCGACATCTCCTGGAATACAGAGTGGAATAGACTCCTTCAAGAGTTGGTTCTGGCCAGCTCAGTGGATTGCTTCAAAAAAGTCCTGGATTCTTTCTTAGATACACAGAATATAACTGGGTACTAACATTTATAGGTAGAGTTGATACAGGGAATATCTGATCACCTCTCGGGGGATCAGAGAGGAATTTATTTTTTTTCCCCTGCAGGTGCAAATTGGATCGTGCTTTTCTGGGGTTTTTTTTTGCCTTCCTCTGGATCAACTGTGGGTGTAGGATTATAATTTTTTTTTTTTTCTATGGTTGAACTGGATGGACTTTTGTCTTTTTTCAGCCGGACTAACTATGTAACAGAGGTCATATATTATAGGCCATCACTATTATTTTCGTTACGATAATAGAGAGCTCATATGCTACACCCTACCTCCGACACTAGAAAAAAAATGCATGTTTGTGTTTGGTTCAGTGACCCATGCTAAGTTCTCTTGCATCTGGTGACTGTAGGCACCTTAAAACTGGCATCACACTAGAAACACATGCATTAACAAGCATTGCATTGACATGTGCTTCATGTGTTGATTTTTTTTTAAATATTACATTTTGTTCTTGTCTAATTATTAAATGCAGGTTAACTATTCAATCATTCATGTAAAGCTTTTTCCCCCAAGGCACCACGACACAAAGCAGTGGTGCAGACAGTTTCTATATAAAACAATGCTTTTTATTTATTTATTTATTTTTTGGTGTAGTTTTTAGGACCCATGGGCCACAACTTAGCTACAACTCATTTCATGTAGCCACCCTTCTCCTTACCACATCCTCACTGGACTCATAGGGGTTTATTTACTAAAGCTGGAGAGTCCAAAATCAGACTCCCTTCTGCATAGAAACCAATCAGCTTCCAGGTTTCATTGCCAAAGCTTCATTGAACAAGCTGAGGTTAGAAGCTGATTGGTTTCTATGCAGAAGGGAGTCTGATTTTGGACTCTCCAGCTTTAGTAAATAAACCCCATATGGTCCAACTTTCATTGTGTACTTACATTATGTGCAAAGAAAGCAGGCATTGAAGCTCTACTGCAGCCAGTGGACATGACACCACAATCTTCTGAGCTTCTGGAACCAACCCCATATGCACTACTAATACACTGTATTGAAAACTGAGCAGGAAACTTCAAGTAGCTGGAATGTGTTCATCATATGATGTGGAATGCTCTTTGTAATGTGGTGTTCAGTTTCTAAAGTGGGAATTCAATGTGTTATGTGCAGTAAAATTAAGTTTGGGATATATTGCAGATGGAAACCCATCAGGTCAGGTTACTGGTACAAGTGAACTCAAAAAACAAATATGGGTCTACGAAAACAGACCTCACCAAAACCTCCGACCCTGCAAAGTTGGCCTATATATGAGAAACGAACAACCATGTGACAGCGGGAAAAGGAGAAATCAAGGATAAAAGGATGAGAGCTCAAGAAAGACACATGGAATGTTTGAAAGAAAAAGGAAACAAAAAGAAAAAACTGGAAGGCCAAAGACTTACAACGCATTTGAATCCAGTAAAGTTTGTTTGCTTTTTGAAAATGTATATGTATAGCTGTTTTTCATTGTATTTCTTTCATTATCACAGTGAAGGCTGAAAAAAACAAAATAATTAAAACATTTTTAGTCAGATGATGATGAAATATTGTATATGAATATTTTGTATTTTCATTATTATTAGGCAGGTTGGGTTCTCAGCTACTTTTCACATATTTACAAGTAGTCGAGCCCTACTTTCCAGAAAAAAAAAGCCTATTTGATGACAGGTCAATGTCCACTCAGTTTATGCAGAAAGGACACAGACACAGCTTGTTCTACTCTATGGGCAGTTGGGTGTAAACAGGCCAGCTGTCCATTTTCACCAGACTGTCCTCCAATCCGATCCACCTAGACGGAGGAGAACAGATCCCTTCCATTTTTCTTTTACACCTTCCAGTCCACAGGGATACATGGACCATCTGATCAGGTCTGTCTGAAAAAACTGACAGACGGACCTAACGGATCATGTGAAAGGGACCTAATAGGTAATTTCTACAGAAAGAAATATGGTTGTGCTATGGCAGGGGTGGCGAACAAGTTAGACACAAAGAGCCAAAATTTTAAACTGTGAAAGTCAGAGAGCCACACCACACAGTGACCGGCCAAAACAGACAAACACTCACACAAAAACACATAATTAAAACCATATTATTCACCATAACACTTTCTTCCCCTTACAAAACACAGGGATGACCAGAGACTGCGGACAGCACAGGGATGACCAGAGACTGCGGACAGTACAGGGATGACCAGAGACTGCGGACAGCACAGGGATGACCAGAGACTGCGGACAGCACAGGGATGACCAGAGACTGCGGACAGCACAGGGATGACCAGAGACTGCGGACAGCACAGGGATGACCAGAGACTGCGGACAGTACAGGGATGACCAGAGACTGCAGACAGCACAGGGATGACCAGAGACTGCGGACAGTACAAGGATGAGAGACTGCGGACAGCAAAGGGATGACCAGAGACTGCAGACACAGTACAGGGATGACCAGAGACTGCGGACAGTACAGGGATGACCAGAGACTGCGGACAGCACAGGGATGACCAGAGACTGCGGACAGCACAGGGATGACCAGAGACTGCGGACAGTACAGGGATGACCAGAGACTGCGGACAGTACAGGGGATGACCAGAGACTGCGGACAGCACAGGGATGACCAGAGACTGCGGACAGCACAGGGATGACCAGAGACTGCGGACAGCAAAGGGATGACCAGAGACTGCGGACAGCACAGGGATGACCAGAGACTGCGGACAGCACAGGGATGACCAGAGACTGCGGACAGTACAGATGACTGCTGACCTTTGGGGAGGTGGGGAGCAGGTACCTGAATTTGACAGGTACCCGCTCTTACTTCCGCAGAGTTTTTGTTTGATCTTACCTGTTCCTCGATCCAGCCGCGCGCTGTCTTCCCGGCTTCTGTATTGGCGTTCGGCATGACAGCCGGGTGCCCAGTGCGCATGAGCGAGAAGCACTTGCGCTTTGTGATTGGTCCGGCGACTTCTGGGATCTGTCATGTGTCCCAGGTACCGCCTTACCATTCACAAAAAGCACCGCTTCTTGCGCATGCGCACTTGGCACCCGGCTGTCATGCCCAGTGCCCACACTACAGAAGCCGGAAGACAGCGCGCCGCTGGATAGAGGAACAGGTAAGATCAAAGAACAAAGAAGTAAGAGCGGGTACCTGTCAAATTCAGGCACCCACTCCCCACCTCCCAAAAGGTCAGCAGTAAGAGGCAAAGAGCCGCATTCATTTTGGCCGGGAGCCGCGTGTTCGCCACCCCTGTGCTATGGGATCACTTGTGTCTCCCATTGTAGGTAACCTGTACATGGCAGAGGTGGACCTTGAGGGGAATAAAACCAAGTTATTGGTTCAGGTATGTGGATGAATCATGGTTACAATAAGAACATTGTAAATTCAAGTTATTATTGAATTGAACACATAAACATAGTATAACAAAGGACCCTTTTTGGACTGTGTTACGCATCAAGGGGAGGGGGTGACTTGGCCACTGCAGTGTACAGGAAATCTACCCACACATACCAATATCTGCTTTTTGACTGCCACCATCCATTGGAACATCAACTAAGGACTATAAAGACAAGGAACGCAGGCACCTTGAACGTTTGTGGCTACCCAGACTTGGCCTTCAATAAAACATCCACAAGGTCAAACAAAAACTCTGAACCATGGAACAGAAGATAGAAACAGAATACACAAGAGTAATATAGTGATGTATGTAGTATCACATCCTTGTGTCCTTCAACCTCAGCAATACACTAAGACATAAACTGTACCCACTGACTCCAATTTCAGATAAGGTAGCGCCATAACAACAATTATCCTCAAAAAAAAAGAAAAGAAAAAAGCACCCAATATCCACACATGATTTTACTTAACCTCCTTAGCGGTGTTCCCGAGTGTAGCTCGGGGTAAAATTTCAATACCAAGAGCGGTAACCCCGAGCTACACTCGGGCTTACCATGCGGCGTTGCTCAGGGGGTCCCTGCAGCACTTACCTTGTCCTTCGCTCCCGCGATGTGTCCCCTGCATGCGTCCCTGGCAATCTCCTCCGGCCGATGCCGGCATCCGGCTTCCGTGTTCCGGTCTCTGTGACGTCAGAACGTACAGGTGCCGGGAAATTTGACATTTTTAAAAAATGTCATTTTTGCTGTCATTGCTGTTTCAATGCATTTCACATATATTTTGTCCCTACTGCTTTGTCCGGCGCCCTGCCTGCATTTTGAATGTTCTTTCTGCCTGGAAACTTAGAAAAGTCCATGGCGTCCAAAAAGTGTCCCTTTACGTCAAAAGCGGTTTTAGACCAGCTAGAGAACAGCGATAGTAAATCAGAACCACTTGCAGAATTGAGTGATAATGATTTGTGGGGAAATTCCTCATAAGACACTGAAAACGATTTGCGACTTTGCTCAGCGATGTGTGAATTTGCCTCTGTATTTCAAATTTCAGTGTTTTTGGTTTGATTATATTATTGAATTAAATTTATTATTATTATATTATTATTTTTTATGATTATTTATTAAATTATAATTTATGATTTCGTGTTTCAAGTTTTATCATATCCGGAATGTTTACTAGACTTGTTCAGACAGATTTCAGTGAATTATTCCTAAAAATTACAGCCTACAATAAAAAACTACATATTTCCATGCAAAATAATGGTACCGCTTTCAGCACAAAAAAATCGGAAAGAATCATACCGCCGAGGAGGTTAATAAAGTCCAAAACAAATATTAAATAAAAATAAACAAAATTCTTCATGTGTTATGTCCTCTTCTGCACTTTATCACGTTCTTCAGTGACACCCACTCCCCGCATGACAGTCACTCACCAAAATGTATTGCCTCTCATTTTCGTGATAGGCTAATTACACTTTTATCTATGTACCACCAATCATTATTTGGTGAGTGACTGTCCTTCAGGGAATGCGTCACGTGTGAACAGTGGGTGTTTTTTACTTGAGGATAAACATTGTTGTTATAGCGTTACCTTACCTGGAACTGGAGTCAGTGATTGCATTTGGACATTTTTTTTAACTCTTCCATTTCCAGATGCTGTCCAGAGCCTTTTTTCATCATGAAAAATGCATGCAAAGCGTTTTCCCGGTACTCAGATGGACCCGGTACACCATACTTTGAAAGAAAATATGTTAGACACGGCTGCAATAATTTCTGCACAAAAATGAGCCGGAACATCCAAACACCACAAAAAAGACAGCTAATCTCAACAAATACTGCTCTCTCTTTTGCTCTCTCTATTTCTCTCAAAATGTCTGAAATAGTTAATTTTGTACTGTTTTTAGTGCATTCTGGGCATTTTGGAAGGTCTCCGGAGGTTATCTAAAAAAAGGTTTCCAAAAAAAAAAAACGGTTCTAAACATAAACGCTCATAAACGTGCATAAACGCGGTATGCAAACACGGCTAAACAGACATTTTTAACCTACGTTTTCCAGCAGTCAGTTTCCATTGTTCAGAAGTGTTTTCCAAATGTCCTGTGTACATGGAGCCTAAGGCATAAGTTTGTACATCCAAAATTCCCAACACCCAAACACAAGAAAAATACCTGCAATACAAGTGAGGAATGAAAAGACCTGTACATTGGGGGGACAAAACAATCTCTCATTCAGAAAAATATTTTGAGAACAGCGAGGTGAACATTTTGGACAGAAAGTACAACTGGTTTGCAGGAGGCCTGAAAGAGGCCATCTACGTCAAAATAGAAACAACCATCTGAACAGGGGCCTTTGTCATCACCTTTCTTCCACATATACAGTAATGCAGGTTTAGTATCTGTACCCTGATGATTTGACAACATTTCACACCTTTAGCCATGTATGTCAAGAAACTAACTCCTACGCAGGCTTCCTGACACCAACACTGGGGTTATACATGGAGATCATATCCCCCCTTAATCTCCTCTTCTCAGTAGAGAATACATTCAGTTCCTCTAATCTTTCCTCATAGCTGATCTCCTCCATGCCTCTTATCAGTTTGGTTGCCCTTCTCTGTACTTTCTCCAGTTCCCCAATGTTCTTTATGTGAATTGGTGCCCAAAACTGAACTGCATATTCCAGATGAAGTCTTACTAATGATTTGTACCGGGGGGGGGGGGGGGGGGATGATATCTCTCTCTCTGGAGTCTATTCCTCCTTTAATAATAATAATAATAATAACATAAATATATTGTGTTTGATATTTTACTCAAAATACAGATTTGATAAATAGTAGCACAAATATTGTGTGACAAAAAATTGCAATTGCCACCGTTTTATTCTACAGGGTTCTCTGCTTTCAGGAAATACTGTATATGTTTTAGGCTTTTAAGTACAACTGCATGTGAAACAAATGTGTATTTTAAAATATGTGCATAAACTAAAGAGAAAAAAAAAAGAAACGCTTCCAGCAGCGAAAGCGTTACATTGTTTTTGTATTTGTTGACATTTCGGAAACTAATTTCATGATTGTTTTGTTAAATCTTGAACTTAATTAAAAAGCCTCAGAGACCCAGAGCAATTATACAGCAAATCTAAAAAGCAACAAGCAAATTCCCAAGAGGCAAATAAACATATAAACATAACTGACTACCTCGACGGAATATTACAGTTTAGCATTTCTGACAAGTCTTGACTTTTCCACCCGGATCATGCCCATAGGATTACCATTGTAGTTGAGTCACAATGGAATATGGTTTGGTGTTAGAGGAAAAAATCAACTTCTACCACATTTATATGTCAGACCTATTGCTTTTAATTACTTATGTGGTTTTGGTATATTTGCGAAAAGTTTACCTTTTTTGTTGAGCAGCTTAAAAGCTATGAGATTGGGTTGCTTCCTAACCCGGGAGCTGAGGTCATGTCGGAGCTGTGAGTTTCTATAAAAGGATCATGGTAGGTTAACATTCTATTACTAACATCAACAATACTAGATATGTAGTGATCCTTCCTTTTACAGTTGTGTCTTTAACCCCTCGCCCTCCTGAGGATTTCCCCCCCTTCCTGACCAGGCCTTTTTTAGCGGTACGGCGCTGCATTATTTTAGCTGACAATTGCATGGTCATGCAACGTTGCACCTAAATGAAATTTACGTCATTTTTTCCCCCACAAATAGAGCTTTCTTTCTGTGGTATTTGATTGCCTGTGTGGTTTAAATTTTTTGCGCTATAAAAAAAAAGGCCGACAATACTAAAAAAAAAAACCTATATTTTTGACTTTTTGCTATTAACCATTAGCCGCCCGGCCAATGGCCGTTTGGCGGCTTCAAATGTGTCTCTGCACTCCGGGTGCACGCCATTTGGCGTGCTCCCGCACATGCGCCGTTTGCGCTAATGCAGAGCGGCGCAGCAGTGCGATCTGTCACCGGCCGTGCACCTCGGACACGGCCGATGACAGATCCGAGTACCGGCTCCCGTTGCTGGTACCATGTGACCTGCTGTGACCAATCACAGCAGGTCACATGACAGTTGTATACAATGGATGGCTTCATTCATGATGCCATTCATTGTATACTAGTGCCTAGCTGTGAATGGTCACAGCTAATCACATGCACATGTCATGTGATTAGCTGTGACCAAATCACAGCTAAGCACAAAAAAAAAAAAAAAAAAAAAAGAAAAAAAAAGCTGAATGAATCGATGTCATTCAGGTAAATGCTTGCTTATAGCAAAGTAATTCTTTGCTATAAGCAAATTGTGTAAAAAAAAAAATACTGATCACTTCCCCAAAGTAGTACAATGTTACTATGGTAACATTGTACTACTTTGGTCATAGTAAAATATGAAAAAAAATCTTAAAAAAAATAAAAAAAAATGTAATAAAAAATTAAATATAATAATAAAAAAAAAAAAAAAAAATATATATATTTTTTTTTCATACTGTCACCAGTCAGTGTCCCTGTTCACCGCCATGCCAGTTATATGATGACGCTGTACTGCACTGGTGACAGTATGTAAAAAAAAAAATAGTGAAAATATTTTCTTTAATTTTTTCATTTTCCAAAAATTTGGACAAAAAAAAATACAACTTCAAAAAACTCGCCATGCCTGTTATGAAGTACGTCGGACTGTCTACTCTGCAAAAAGTGGTCATTTGGGGATATCTGTACTGTTCTGACATTCTTGGACCTCAAGAAATTAGATTGGCTGTCAGTACTTCAGGATTGATCAATATTCAGATCTATATCATAGTTTGTGAACTCTATAACTTTCCTACAAACTAAATAATACATCCTAATTTGGGTTATTTTCACCAAAGACATGTAGCAGAATACATCTCGGCCTAAATTTATGAAGAACAATTATTTATTTGTAAACTTTTATAACAGAAACAAAGAAAAACGTGTTTTTTTTTTTCAAAATTTTTGGTCTTTTTTTGTTAATTTAGCAAAAAATAAAAACCCCAGCGGTGATTAAATACCACCAAAAGAAAGCTCTAGTTGTGTGAAGAAAATGATAAAATTTTAGTTTGGGTACAGTGTTGTATGACCGCGCAATTGTCATTCAAAGTGTGAGAGCGCTGAAACCTGAAAAATGAAAAGGAAGGGGTAAAATTGCACGTTATTGAAACGGTTAAACATGTCCAGTAAAAATATTTAAAAAAATCAAATTTCGTCATAAATTTAGGCCAAAATGTATTCTGCTGCATGAGGAAAGAAAAAACAGAGGGCGCACAGGCCTAGTGCATTACCATAAAAAATGTTTAATAAAAAATAAAGTATGTGTTGTACTCACAAACGACAATATAGTCAAGGCACATCATAAAGAACAGCTGGGTCAACACCGCGCTGAGTAACAGTCCGCAATAGGGAGTATAGACATCCAAAAGGCTGACGCGCTTCGAGGACTTGCCTCTTCCTCAGAGCCCCAAGTCCTCGAAGCGCGTCAGGCTTTTGGATGTCTATACTCCCTATTGCAGACTGTTACTCAGCGCGGTGTTGACCCAGCTGTTCTTTATGATGTGCCTTGACTATATTGTCGTTTGTGAGTACAACACATACTTTATTTTTTATTAAACATTTTTTATGGTAATGCACTAGGCCTGTGCGCCCTCTGTTTTTTCTTTCCTCATTCAGTATATTTGGATTTCCCCGGTCCATTTGAGGGCAGCAAGGTGTGCATGTTCCAGGACATTCCTTATGTGGTTGTAGCATCGAGTCCATCCCCAAGCGCAGGAGCATTTGTGTTTGCTGGTTCTTTGTATTCTGCTGCATGTCTTTGCTAAAAAAAATCCCAATACATGTAAATTAATTGGTTTAAATAAAAGTTATAGCGTTTACAAATGGCAGTATATGCTGGGATTTTTCAGTTTATTTTTACTAGTAATGGTGGCGATCAGCGACTTATAGCGGGACTGTGGCGTGCATTCTGACACTGGGGGGGGGGAACTGACTTGGTGTCACTGACATCCCCAGTGACACCAATACAGTGATCAGTACTAATAATAAAAAGCTCTAACACTGTACTAATGGCACTGGGCAGGAAGGAGTTAACATGTGGGGCCATCAAAGGGTTAACAGTGTGCTGTTTTACTTTGGGGCGGTGTCTGTGTGCTTCACTGTAAGCACATTGCTTTGTATGGCTCTGCTATGCAGAACCATGCAAAGCAGTGTGCAGGAGCTGACTGTCAGGGATCCCCGCGATCCGTCCCTCGATGGTCCCGGCGCAGGCGCACTGCTCCTCCCAGTACACGGGCACTAGGTCCGGGCCGGCCGCGGCGTTCGAGTTCGCGCATGCGCAGTAGAAGCCGCGGCCGCCCGCTGGGCACCAATGGCAGCGCAGGGCGGGATATTTAAAGGTCCCTGAGCTGTCATTTCGTTGCCTTCTGGTCTTACCTGCATTCCTGATCCTGTGAACCTGTATCCTGTAAGTTATTGACCCGGATTGCTCTTGACCTTGCTGATTTCTCCTGCCCAGACCCTTGCTTGCCTGACCTCTCTCCCTGGATGCCCCTCTGTAGATCTGACCTCCTGTTGCTGACCTGGCGTGTGACCCGACGATTCTCTGCCTGCTCCCTTGTACCTTACCGTCCTCTACATTACCGACTCGGCCTGTCTGACTACGCACTTGCTCAGCCATCCATCCATCCATCCCATCAGGGTCACCCGACCTCCTCACATTTGGCTCTCCCTGGTTGGAACCCCTGGCGGACACCCCTACCACTGACAGGTGTGCTCAGTAGAGGCGACCTGGTCTCAGGGTACTACAAGTCCATCCCCACCATCAGGGGCCCTGGTGAACAAGTACCCTGGGGCTTAGATTCCGCGCTCTGGGCACGCCTGACCGGTGGAGTGCTAGTGGTGCCGCTCGGCGGTCCCTCACACTGACAGAGGAGAGAACTGTTTTGTATTCATTTAACCATTAGCCGCCCGGCCTATAGCCGTTTGGCGGCGGCAAAAATGCTTCACCTTTCCGGGTGCACGTCATTTGGCGTGCTCCCGCCCGCACATGCGCGGTTGCAGAGCCGCGCAGCGGCGCGATCTGTCACCGGCCGTGTACCTCGGACACGGCCGATGACAGATCTGAGTACCGGCCCCCCTTGCTGGTACCATGTGACCTGCTGTGACCAATCACAGCAGGTCACATGACAGTTGTATACAATGGATGGCTTCATTCATGCCATCCATTGTATACTAGTGCCTAGCTGTGAATGGTCACAGCAGGTCACATGCACATGTCATGTGATTAGCTGTGGCCAAATCACAGCTAAGCACAAAAAAAAAAAAAAAAACCTGAATGAATCGATGTCATTCAGGTAAATGCTTGCTTATAGCAAAGTAATTCTTTGCTATAAGCAAATTGTGTAAGAAAAAAAAAAAAAATACTGATCACTTCCCCAAAGTAGTACAATGTTACTATGCTAACATTGTACTACTTTGGTCATAGTAAAATATGAAAAAAAAATCTTAAAAAAAAGTAATAAAAAATAATAAAAAAAAAAATTTAAATAAAAATATATATATATTTTTTTTTTTTCATACTGTCACCCGTCAGTGTCCCTGTTCACCGCCATGCCAGTTATATGATGACGCTGTACTGCACTGGTGACAGTATGTAAAAAAAAAATAGTGAAAATAATTTTTTTAATTTTCCGAAAAATTATGACAAAAAAAAATACAACTTCAAAAAACTCGCCATTCCTCTTATGAAGTACGTCGGACTGTCTACTTTGCAAAAAGGGGTCATTTGGGGGATATCTGTACTGTTCTGACATTCTTGGACCTCAAGAAATTAGATTGGCTGTCAGTACTTCAGGATTGATCAATATTCAGATCTATACCATAGTTTGTGAACTCTATAACTTTCCTACAAACTAAAAAATACATCCTAATTTGGGTTATTTTCACCAAAGACATGGAGCAGAATACATCTCAGCCTCAATTTTTTGAAGAACATCTATTTATTTACAAACTTTTATAACAGAAACAAAGAAAAACGTGTTTTTTTTCAAAATTTTCAGTCTTTTTTTTGTTAATTTAGCAAAAAATAAAAACCCCAGCGGTGATTAAATACCACAAAAAAAAAGCTCTAGTTGTGTGAAGAAAATGATAACATTTTAGTTTGGGTACAATGTTGTATGACCGCGCAATTGTCATTCAAAGTGTGAGAGCGCTGAAACCTGAAAAATAGCCTGGGCAGGAAGGTGTAAAATTCCCCGGTATTGAAATGGTTAATGAATGCTGCAGAACTAAATGATTGAAAGCAACCTTTGAAATTACATAAAGCTTATATAAGATGTTAGTGTCTGGGCTGAGGTCTACTTAAAATTAACCACACAGTATTGGTTTGAATGGTGAGAGGAAGCTTAGGAACTCAAAAGAAACCCTAACAAACACTGGGAGAACATACAAGTCCCATACATGAAAACTGACCTACCATGATAACAGTCCTGACCACTATGAGACCTTCAAAACAGAAGATGAATAATATAGAGAGCATCTCCCTTGTTCATCTGAAAGAATCCCATGAGGGAGTGAAAACCTGGAAGGAAAGACACAATACTGCAGTTATGACTATCTGATAGGACTTTTTAGTGGATAAGGGTCACTTGTACTCACTCCAAGCCACTGCTGGTGCCAAAAGGGCAACCTTGTTTAAGGACATGCATAGAATACTTCTGTCTTCAAAGTCAGAGTTGGTCAATGCAAGAAGGTGCCAAGGTTGCAAGGTAGAAGATATTTCACCATTTGGAAAACGCAGGACAACAAGGTTTTGGGATCCTGGAAACAGATAAATATTTTATTTTTCAGCATGTTATCTTGATACACATTGAACGCAGAAGTACAAGCAGCCACATAGAGAAGAAGAGCAAAGCATGAATATCAAGTGCCTAGCGATATGGGATGTTTTAATGAGAAAAATAAGTAGTCTTTTTAAATTTCCAGGAATTCAGCTCCTTTGTAAAAAAAAATGAAGGGGCACTATGAGTTAGGTCCAGCGAGATGCATGGCACCTCCTATTATTTATACCGGACAGCTTTATAGTACTCCTGGAAGACAGCAAAGCTGATCCTTCTGAGCTATGCATCTTGAACTGAAGAGTCACTGCAGCTGCTATGCCAGCCACTCCTCTCCTCCTACCCATTCACAGAAGCCTTTCTATTATGTGAACACATAGACAAAACACAAAGGCTTTTCTGAATGGGCAGCAGAGGAGATGGGCAGGCATAGCAGCTCTCTATGCCTCTCTACTCTCTCACAGCCCTGAGTACCTCAAATGTAAATCCTGGCAGAGCAATAAACCTGTGAGATATAAATAATAGAGATAAGTGCATGAGGTGTCATGCAGCTCCTTGGGCTTAACTCACAGTGTGCCTTCGCTAATTACAAAGTGGCTGAATTTCTGGAATTCAGCTTTAAAGCCATTTTTTGGAAACTGTGTATTGTTTGTCAGGTTTTTTTTTTTATTTCTTTTAGATTTAATTAGGGGTATCATTCCTGAGTATAATGCAATAATATAAAGAAAATGGGACTCTCTGTCTCATGAAGCCTGCAAAGTGCCACTGATTGCTCCTCCCAGCAGGACTCAAAAATGTCAGAGTACGACTATGTTCCTGTTCAATTGTTATTGACAAAAAGCAGCAGCATTACAGTGCAAGACTGCTTATGCATTCCGGCTCTACAGCTGTACTGTTCTGTTCTTGGACTTTTCTTGAACTGTTTTGAGTAAAACGAAGTTATAATGGCATAACTGGATAAAAAGTATACCTGATCCAACTCAGTTGGGAGAGCACTGGGAAAGGTTTCCATGACTGCAAAGTATATATGAATGACCCATTACACAGTCCAAGGTTCCAGAAAAAGTTATTTATCCATACAAAGACATACAAGGTATTAAAATCATATATGTGCCATAAAGATACCATTGGAGGAACTTAAAAAAACAAAGGTTGGTGCCAACCAGTCAAAATATTAGCTTTCACAGACAGGTAATTGATTCTAGAAGTTTCAGGTGCACCCACCCCCACATATGTACACACGTACAAATATAAATGGGGCGCCTACGCCCGAAAACAACTATTGTGATACACGTTACATGGCGTTGCGCACGCCAGAATGAGAGCAATAATTATAGCACCAGACCTCCTTCGTAACGCTAAACTGATGACCTATAAGGGGCTTTAAAAGCGTAAGTTATAGAAAATATAGGGTACTAAAGTTTGTTGCCATTACACAGGCGCATGCAAATGTAAGATTTGACATGTTGGATATCTATTTACTCGATGCAACCTTGTCTTTCGTATTTTACAAAGAAAATTGGATAATTTATTGCTTTTTGTGCCCTAAAATTAACTTACCGTATTTTTCGCTTCATAAGACGCACTTTTTTCCCCCCAAAAAAGGGGGGAAAATGTCAGTGCATCTTATGGAGCAGCCGGTCGGGTATTTCCACCGCCGCCCGTGTCAGAATACCGGGCCGGCCGCTCAGCTCTGCAGTGGGACCTTACCTGTTCCTCTATCCAGCGGTGCGCTGTCTTCCCGGCTTCTGTAGTGTGCGTGACAGCCGGGTGCCAAGTGCGCATGCGCAAGAAGCGGTGCTCTTTGTGAATGGTAAGGCGGTACCTGGGACACATGACAGATCCTAGAAGCCGCCGGACCAATCACGAAGCGCAGGGCTTCTTGCTCATGCACACTGGGCATCCGGCTGTCCGCCGAGCGCCCACACTACAGAAGCCGGGAAGACAGCGCGCCGCTGGATAGAGGAACAGGTAAGATCAAAGAACAACTCCGCGGAAGTAAGAGCGGGTACCTGTCAAATTCAGGTACCCGCTCCCCACCCTCCCCAAAGGTCAGCTGTCATCTCCTGTACTGTCCGCAGTCTCTGGTCATCTCTTGTACTGTCCGCAGTCTCTGGTCATCTCCTGTACTGTGTCCGCAGTCTCTGGTCATCCCCTGTACTGTGTCCGCAGTCTCTGGTCATCTCCTGTACTGTGTCCGCAGTCTCTGGTCATCTCCTGTACCGTGTCTGCAGTCTCTGGTCATCCCCTGTACTATGTCTGCAGTCTCTGGTCATCTCCTGTACTATGTCCGCAGTCTCTGGTCATCTCCTGTACTGTGTCCGCAGTCTCTGGTCATCTCCTGTACTGTCCACAGTCTCTGGTCATCTCTGTACTGTCCGCAGTCTCTGATCATCTCCTGTACTATGTCCGCAGTCTCTGGTCATCTCCTGTAGTAGATCCGCAGTCTCTGGTCATCTCCTGTACTATGTCTGCAGTCCATTAGTTCAGAATTTTTTTTCCCCTGTTTTCTGCCTCTAAAACCTAGGTGCGTCTTATGGTCAGGTGCATCTTATGGAGCGAAAAATACGGTAAGTGCATTTTTTACTGAAAAGTTGCTTTGCTAGACCTTTGTGATAATATCGTGTGACATAAAGCATTGGAACTACTGCCATTTTATTCTCTAGGGTCTCTGATTTCAGAAAATATGTTTTAGAGTTTTGTGTAATCTTCAGGCCTTAAATGATTTTTTAAACGTGTGTAAAAAACGCAAAAACAGCTCTGGCAGCGAAAGGGATAAAGGATAAGCCTGACACTCCCCTTTCCTGATGAGCACCCAATCGGTGCTCATTACACTGCAAGGTCTCTCTCCTCCCTGCTAGTCCGCGGGTTCGGTGCTGGAGACAGGCAAGGAGGGGAAGAGGAGATAAACAGCACAATCTTAAAAATAATAAACGTTTCGGTCGCCATAAAGACCCTTTTGTTTTTAGTAGCCCCAGACATTACTTTAAGGCAGATTTAAATACGGTTTTGGTTAAAAAAAAAAATTAAATCAGGACAAGTATATTGTCATGAGGGACAAGTAGATTGTCATGAGGGACAAGTAGATTGTCATGAGAGACAAGTAGATTTTCATGAAAGACAAGTAGATTGTCAACAGGGACAAGTAGATCGTCATGAGG